TAGAGAAAAAAATATAATTTTTTAAGTTACAAGGGACTGCTGCACGAAATGTGCTTATACACAAATAAATTTTTATTTTGAAAAGCTACCAAGCTACAAAGCTGCAATTTGGCACACATATGCACCTGGGCCCCCTACACATGTGGAAAGAAACAGAACAGAGAAATCTCCCATAGGGAAAAAATTAGCCCCGGAAAAGTTGCAGATATTCGGCTGTTATAGGCCATATAGACGGAAAACGTGCAATAGCTAACTTTGCCAAATAAACCGATTTGGCCCATGTTTTGGGTTTTTCCTACTAATTCGACCCCAGGGAGTCGAAAAAACACATAAAACCGAATTAAAAACAATTAGAGAAAAAAATAGAATTTTTTAAGTTACAAGGGACTGCTGCACGAAATGTGCTTATACACAAATAAATTTTTATTTTGAAAAGTTACCAAGCTACAAAGCTGCAATTTGGCACACATATGCACCTGGGCCCCTACACATGTGGAAAGAAACAGAACAGAGAAATCTCCCATAGGGAAAAAGTTAGCCCCGGAAAAGTTGCCGATATTCGGCTGTTATAGGCCATATAGACGGAAAACGTGCAATGGCTAACTTTGCCAAATAAACCGATTTGGCCCATGTTTTGGGTTTTTCCTACTAATTCGACCCCAGGGTGTCGAAAAAACACATAAAACCGAATTAAAAACAATTAGAGAAAAAAATAGAATTTTTTAAGTTACAAGGGACTGCTGCACGAAATGTGCTTATACACAAATAAATTTTTATTTTGAAAAGCTACCAAGCTACAAAGCTGCAATTTGGCACACATATGCACCTGGGCCCCCTACACATATGGAAAGAAACAGAACAGAGAAATCTCCCATAGGGAAAAAATTAGCCCCGGAAAAGTTGCCGATATTCGGTTGTTATAGGCCATATAGACGGAAAACGTGCAATAGCTAACTTTGCCAAATAAACCCATTTGGCCCATGTTTTGGGTTTTTCCTACTAATTCGACCCCAGGGAGTCGAAAAAACACATAAAACCGAATTAAAAACAATTAGAGAAAAAAATAGAATTTTTTAAGTTACAAGGGACTGCTGCACGAAATGTGCTTATACACAAATAAATTTTTATTTTGAAAAGTTACCAAGCTACAAAGCTGCAATTTGGCACACATATGCACCTGGGCCCCCTTCACATGTGGAAAGAAACAGAACAGAGAAATCTCCCATAGGGTAAAAGTTAGCCCCGGAAAAGTTGCCGATATTCGGCTGTTATAGGCCATATAGACGGAAAACGTGCAATAGCTAACTTTGCCAAATAAACCGATTTGGCCCATGTTTTGGGTTTTTCCTACTAATTCGACCCCAGGGAGTCGAAAAAACACATAAAACCGAATTAAAAACAATTAGAGAAAAAAATAGAATTTTTTAAGTTACAAGGGACTGCTGCACGAAATGTGCTTATACACAAATAAATTTTTATTTTGAAAAGTACCAAGCTACAAAGCTGCAATTTGGCACACATATGCACCTGGGCCCCCTACACATGTGGAAAGAAACAGAACAGAGAAATCTCCCATAGGGAAAAAGTTAGCCCCGGAAAAGTTGCCGATATTCGGCTGTTATAGGCCATATAGACGGAAAACG